TAATCTTTGCTCGTTATTTCTTCAATTTTGTCGAATTATTGCTGCTGAATTGGTCGTGTTATACTTGTTTTTGTACAGGTCCTTGCTTTCCAGAATTTGTGAAAAAATGGGCGAATTCTGCATTTTTTTTATTATTTGGTCACGGCTGGAGACATGGGCACGACTCTGGGCACGACGCGGTCTGACGTGGCAGTTTCTAGAAGGTCCAGTCAGCGACGGTTTCTAGAAGACCTCGTCTGCACGCCTTCTGGAAGATTGACGAGCAGAGTTGCATTAGGAGACTAGTTTAAGTTTGAATTTAAATTTAAAAACTATTATCTTTTGTATTATTTTATTATTTTTTTTGTTTATCCTTTAGTCATTGAGAGGCTATAAATACCCACTTGGGGTAAGCCTAAAATCATCATTCGGAATACATTCTTCTTTTGTCTCTAGTTTTTATAAAAGTTTTCTCTTTTCTCTTTTCAAGTTCTTTTTATTTTTCTTTATTTTCAAGTTTTATTTTTATGCTAAGTATGACTTTTGTCATGCTTAGCTAAACTTTTCATAAGCCGAGAGCTGTCGCGATGATTCAATTCCAACGGGAGAATTGAAACGGTCCCTTAATATCTTCGGAATATCTCTCTCAATCTCTGCGCTTATTTTTCAAAAATTAAAACAGTTTTCAAAATCAAAGATTGACTTTGGTCAAGAGGTTGTTGCGATTAAATGTATGGGAGGAAGATTCGACTTATAGAAAGCAATTCGACTTCCTGGGAACACACCTGGCGAGATAGCTTCGCCAAGAGGGAATTGAGATCGGAATTGACGGTTATAGAAACAACAATCTGATTTGGTCGCCACGAACTTAAACGGTATTTGATCTACGACAATAGATGTTGTTAGAATCAATTACCGAAGCCGAAATCAAAGATTGCCTTGGGTATTCGGTATACAAGATAGAGTCACAAGGATAGCCCTTGTAGACAAAGTAACCGACGTGAATCCCGAAAAGAAAATCTTATTCGATGATCTAAAGGAAATTGAATCAAAGCGAAGCTTGAGGCTACTTTTATCGTATTTATTCACAATCTTCATACTCTTATTTTTATTTAAATTGCTTTTATTTATTTTTACCATTTTAATGTCATATTACAAACCCCCCCCTTTTACTATTTTTGCCTGGTTAGAATCATTCAAACATTAAATTGTGATTTTCTAAGTCCCTGAGGATTTGACCCTTATTTCTCTATACTACATATTTCCTTTATTTATTGATTGAGAATAAGGAATTATTTTGACATCCGAAACGACAGTTGTCAGTAATATGCTCTATATTCGAACTAAAAGAAAATATAATAACTACTGGATTTGAAGTGAATAGATCAGAGGAAAAAATGCATTCGAATAATGATGAAACTAAATAAAAAAAACAATAAGTAATTGATACACACTGAAGTCTGGTATTGCTTGAAAATAGAGTTTACAATGTGTTTTTTGTCAGGATTTCCAATCCTTTTTACAGACTGCTTGCTTGGGTTAAATACCCATTTACAATTGAATAATAAGAAACGTTCCACTTTCTTGTGTTCTGTCTTTGCAGGTGGAGTGGTGTGTTGGTGCTTGGAGCAGCTCGTTGGCCAAGGTGGAGGCATGGGTATGGTATGGGATTTGAAATAAAAAAAATGATGTGCAAGCACATGAGATAGTGGTGGGGTTTGTGCTTCACATGGGGCATGAGTTTGTGCTCATTTCAATTAAGTATGTGCTCACAAGATCGAAATTACATATGATATTTAGATGAATTTTCATTGGTTTTATATGAGTTTCATGAAAACCAATTGAGGTGTAGAAAAACTATCTTCTTGTTTTCTCATCAAATTCATCATTTCTTGTCGATTATTGAACTTCGAGATTTAGAATTTTCTCGAGTCCCAAATTTTGAATCAATACAATAAAAAATTATATTAATAAAAATGTTTATGCGAAAATTTTATCATAATACAAGGGACAAATAAGTATTAACCTAATTTATTATTACAAATTTATCTGAAGTTTTTTTGGTTGCCAATGAATATGGTGAATTCGAGATGCTTTCATTTTATTTTATCTTTTATATTTTTATCATGGTATAATACCTGACTCAACCATCTTAAACATGGAAAAGCTTTTGATCTCTACGAACAAAGCATGGCATATGGAATGATTCTTGGCTGCAGGGATGGATCGAAGGAGTAAGTGAAACAGTTGCTCCTTTGAAAATTTTCAAATTATTATATATTTTAATTTATATATATATTGACAATCTATTTTTGTCTCTGTAGAACTTTATAATTTCCAACTCCTCAAATTTTAAAAATTCTCCACTTATCATAAAATCCTTATCGACTTCTATGACATAAAAAAGTGAATGTTCATAACATAAACCCAAATAATAACAAAGATGGTTACAACTTACAAGTTGCTTTTAACTTAAGGTTTGAATCAAACGTGTGATGTTCCACGAATCTACACCAAACTATGAAACTTAAACATGTGAGTAATGCTTAGACATTATCCCACCTGAGTGAGAAATACCATTGGCATGGGTATTTATAGTATTCATTCTTCCCCCTCTTGTTGAGTGATAGAGAACAAAGGACCATCTTGTGCACCATCGTTATCGCTGTTCTTCTGTATCGACTCGTGGTCGTGGGCGTGGTCGAGGTTAAGACTCGTAGCTCCTAGCTCGTGGTAATACACGTCTTCAACACGTCCACGCGAATACTATCTTTTTAGAGAAAATTTATAGAAATTTTCTGAGCAAATAAAGAAGAATGTGAAAGAATTTCACTTGATATTTATAGGCTGCACAGTGACTTGTTCGATTCAAATTTTAGAAGGGTAACAAATTATTAATTAGCTATCATTTGATTTATGTAAAATTAAAAATCATAATAGTCAGTTTTCAAAATTCTATCTGTGAACGTTGAATGTATCTGAACAGTATTTCAGCTTTGTTCAAAGTAAATAATAAGTTATTTATTGTTCCAGTTACAAGAGTAATTACAATAGTTACAAACGGTTGAAAATTAAATCACGAATCTAGACTGCTTTGGGGCCAGGTTCATTTGTTAATGACAGACGTTTCAACATATATTAAATCCAAAAAATAAAATCAGATTTATATCTAATTTTATTTTGGATGTTTTTGTCCCTGAGCTCAGCGTATAAATAGAGAAGCAATGTTAGCTTCTCAACTCACTCAAACACTCACAAATCCTCTTAACAATCAAAAGCTTTCTAAAGCTTATTTTTATGTGGTACTATTAGAAGAGCAATACCACATGCAGTCCACTCTGGTTTCGGGTGTACGAATTCTCAGAGCAATCATGTTAACTTCATGGGACAATCCGTCTATCTTAATAATTACACACATCGACACGAATTTCTTTTCAAGGCAGTGGTTTCACCACGACACGGTTTAGATTTTATGTTGTCCTGTCAGTGCTAACGGTGTGATTTTGCAATACATATATTTCCAACAAAACATACCAGGAAGATGTAATAGCTTTTTGCCTACACTAGTTAACCTACAAATGCGTCGAACATCTACTACTAGTTACTGTCGAGAAATTCTGCTATACAACGACTTAATTTAAGATTAAAAAATGACCGAAGATGAGAACAATTGAAGATGTGATACTAAATATAATATTTTCAATTGGACGGAAATTAAAAATTAACCTTTTCTAATATTTTTGGTTCAACAAAAAATGTTATAAAGAAGATAACGTTTTTGGTTGAATCGAAATTGTTAAGAAGTTAACATTTTAGATGCACCCAACAAAAAATATCATGTTTTTATCACATTTTTTGTTGCACCTATTTTCTATTGTTCCTTAGCCTTAAATTAAACAGTTGTTCGTTGGACTTTTTCAGTTACTGACAAGTTTAGCAAGCTGATGTCGAATACGTTTAAAGAGTGTCATTTTACGAAACAAGTCCTGCATCTGGAAACCTCCCAAACCACTTGAGAGTTTTGTTGTATCTTCGATAAATCTCATCCGCGAGATGTATTTCTATGACTGATTTTTCGTCTATCGAAACCTTTGAATTTCTTGAAAAACTTTTAAAGTTTTATGTCTTATGAAATATTATAATCTTTTTAATCATAGTCAATTTCACCATTAACTAAATTTATTATACGAGGACTATGTCTATTCATTTCAACATTCATATATAAATTCCATGTAAAATTAAAGGGAGTTTTCTCTCTCTTTCTTGAAAATTCAAATCTAGTATGCATTTTTTCAGTTGTTTATTTCTCCTCTTTTTATAAAGTTATTGATCATAGCTCTCTATGTAAATTTCATTTTCATTCAAATTAAAAGTTATGGTCTATATGAAAGTGTCAGAATAATATTGTTTTTCGAAATGAGACTCAGACATGCGAAGCTTTATTTCATCAATGTCTGAGCCAGGCGAACGTTTATTCTTCAGGTTCCTCTGTTGTTTGCTCTCATTCTTATGTCATGGAGATCCGATGGGAGCCCCCTCCCCCGGGGTTATTTGCTCAAACATTGATGGTTTTGTGGGTTCTTTAGACTCCTTTGCAGGTGATGTCTTGCACGATCATGAGAGGAGTTTCATTGTGGGTTATAACTGATACTTAAGTTTCTCTACCGTCATTCACTCCGAGCTCTGAGGGATTTTAGCAAGATTGAAACTAGCTTGGGGAAGAGGTTATTGTCTTCTACTTTTACAAGTCGACAGGGCTGATGTTTTTGAGATGGTTATGTCGGCTTCACCCAACACCCTTATTGCTTTGGTTCGTGGTATTTTTGACTTGCTTAATAGAAACTGACAGATAGATTTCAAGCTTATCCGACGAGAAACAAATATTGCTGCTGATTTTTTGGCCAAGTCCGATATCGATGGTGAACTCTTGACTATTGACAGTGCTCCACCTGGTCTTCATGAGATTTTGAATCAGAATATAGCAAGATCTCCCATCGAATAAATCTCGAATCACCAAAATCTCAGGCCAAACAAAACCAGGCGAATAAATCTTGACCAACGCGCTTACGCGTGCAATTCACGCTCCGATCAACGGTTTTCAGAGGGGATCGACAAAGCGGGCAATTAAAATTGAGATGATCGAGCCAGCCATCGAAGCAATCCTTATGGAATACATGGCAGCAATCCAGTTTCCTCACCTGTTCCCCATGTCTCATCCCGCACAAGCACAGGATGCAATCGGAGCCCTTTCCGCCGCCGCAATATTCGTACGAGAAGGCCTTGTTTAAGTTGACCTTCTCGGCGAGTACCATGAGGGTGGAGAGGCCGGAACCTATGATCCCGACGTCTTCCATGGCGGTGGTGGGCTGTTCCGGGCAAAGGAAAAGCCCAAGTGCATGGAGGAAACCAAAGAGGAGACTCCGGAGATAGCCGACGCACTTTGCGATTACGGCTACGAGGAGAAGCGGGATCGAATCGGAGGACACGTCGTTTAGCTGGCTTTGTAATCCCATACTTTTTTAAATTTCAAGGGGGGGGGGGGAGAGGACAGGGTTTTGAATGGGAAGTGAGATTTATATGTATGAGCTGAAAAACGGGATGAGATTAAGACCATGTGTGGCTTTGTACGAAATTATTTATTCCTTTCTTATTTTATTTTCCATACGCATTGCCAGTGGTGTTTTCGTATTTTTATTTTTGCATATTCGAATATTCATTTCATGTCTGTATTTTATGTTGGTGTTATGTAACGTTTGTGTCATGTTATATTTGATTAAGGGTCAAGATGGAATGCTGAATCGATTACTCCTTACTCAAAAGAATATACAATTTATTATTCTTCGTAAGTTTAAATGTCTCCAATAAATAATATTGAATTTCGGTACTGTTTCAATCTAATTCTCTATTGCATTTTCAATCAAAAATAATTTTTGTATTGAAAATAATAGAAAACAAAAACGTTTGAAATAAAAAAATTAGTAAGTTTTTAAAAAAATAAAGGATTTATCGAAATATCTTTCAAGTATCATCTAGTTTTATTATACCTACTAAAGACATCAAAACTACTCAATCAACACATGTTAATGTCGTTGAAGATAATATCAGTGAAAATGACGAAACTAATGATGACGATCTTGTTGAAAAACAATTAGTATGAAAAAATCTAACGCGAAGCTGATAACCATCACACTATGAAACTCATTCGATATGAAATTATTGGTGATATAATCTTTTTTCTTTTTTTATTATTATTTATTAATATTATAACTTTTATAATAATATTATTTTTCAGTCCGAAATCTGTTGATTAAACTGTCATGCATAATAAAGATATATTTTGTTAGTAGTATCTTTGCTCTACGTATCTAGACATGATGTAATTATAAGAAGTATGTGGCAATTTAAAAGCAATTTTTTAATAAATGATATTTAAATAAAAGAGCCTTTATTATATTCTAAACTAAACCAATTCATCAGGATTAATTAATACTCGCGCATAATAAGGTTTTAACTTGTGGAATAAAACTTGGGTGACATAAGCTATACATACAAGGACTAAAAGCAATAATCCCACAATTTCTAAGGTCAAGCCGACCACGTCTTATTATTAAGCTCACCGCACCGACCTTTTTTTAATTTTATTTTAATTGTTGTGTGCGAATATGTGATGTAGATAGCCTAGATTTTGGATTTGCTTACGTTACACTGTTGTTTTCGGTAGGTATTTCAATTCACGTTTGGACACCTAAAATTCAACACTCCCATTATAAGATTTAATCATTGAGATCTGATTGATTTATTTGTAGGTAAATAATAGTAAGTTAAATATATGTAATTTTTTTTAATTATTTATCTATTTATTATCATTTTTAATTTTTAAATTATTCATATATTATTATCTAAATTTATAAATATTGTGTATTTAAATTCGTAAAAAATTTAAGATAACGTGTTTAATATTTGAATCTATTAAAATAAATTATCAATGCCTGAATTTGTTACAAGTAATATTAACTTGGTAATTTAGAGTTAGATTATAATATTTGAATCCACGATTCACATAAATAATGTGAATTCATCGTATTCATATAAAGTAAATTATATTTTTTCCGACATACATGTAACTTGATTTTTTCCTATCTTCTCCAACCCTGCTTGTCCACTGGAAGAAGAGCTCGTATAGAATCAGGTGGATCTCGCCATTCAGAAAATCCTGCATTCACCACGTATCCGTAGTGTACAAGAGCCTCTGCAGTTTCATTTGCTTCCCGTGGGATGAGATTAAACTCAACCGTCCATCGTCGTTCCAGCATCTACTTATAAGAGTCAGTTTATTGTTTTGACTGTGGGTTGTAATCAGATTGATTGCTTTAGTGTTGTTCATCTCTATCGTGACACGTCTTGCTCCATACTTCCAGGCTAGATGAAGTCCATCCAGTAGTCCTCAGAGTTCAACTTGGAGCACTGAGCAATAACCGATGTTGTGATTAAAGCCCACAATCCAATCACCGTCGTGGTTGCGGATGATGCAATCACTCGCAGCGTCTATGGAATTCTATTTGACTGCTCCATCAGTGTTTGAGTTTAAATGTGCCAATATTCAACGGTTTCCAGGCTTGGTTCCTTTTTGTCCGATTGGTATGCTAGGGAACGTTCTTCTGTCTAGCTGATACTGATTGAGCCTAAGCTCGAGAATATTGGATGATCTCATCCGAGGACCATCTCACACCGTTGAATAGGAGATTGCATCGTTGCTTCCAGATTCTCCAAATCATTATGCTAAACATGTGCCTTCATTTATATGATCTGCCATCAATACCTACAGTATTATTCAAATTAGAATGCAATCAATTATAAAGGGGAGGGGAGAAGAAACTCCCTGCTCTTTGATTCGGCATGATTTGCATCCAGATGTTCTTAGTGGCTGAATAGTCCCTTAAGGTATGGATTATTGTTTCATCACAGCCCCGCAGATCGGACTACTAGGATCCGACGAAATGCCTCGTCTGGTTCTTTCCATGTTTGTCAAGAGTCGATTATTCAGAATAAGCCATATAAAATTCCTAACTCTTTAGAGGCCATTGAAATTCTAAGCTAGATTCCACATATTGTCTCTTCGATCCCAGTCCTCATAACGGAGCACATGATAAGCGGTTCTAACCAAGCAGTTTCCTGAAGGTTCCTAGAGCCATATGGGTTGATCGGCTTGAGTGTCTTTGGTTGGAGGAGGGATAGCAATGATGTCCCGAATAATGACTTCGTCCAGCGTGGAATTCAATTTGTTTAAATTCTAGCTGCCATCGATGTTCGTGTAATCATTGACCATAGCGTCGCGATCAACAATCTGGGTTCCATTAATTTTTGTCCTTAATCGGACGATTGTCCGGGATCCAGGCATTCGACTAAAAATTAGTACTTTGTCCGTTTCCTAGAGCCTAGCAAACATTATTGCGAATAAAGCACCACTCCTTGGATAAGGAGCAACACACATAGGAACAATTTCTCTAGTTAAGTTGATTGGGGAGATGTGTGTTTAACTTATATTTGGATCGACAAAGCTTAACCCAAAAGGCTTCAAGATGCGTTAGAAGGCTATAGCAAAACTAGATAAAAAAAATGCTTCATTTTGTATTTGGAGAGGTCGGAGGCCTAGACCCCATGGGATGTGGTTGGCAGTGTAACAACCGAAAATTTGAAAAAAATATATTTAATTAAAATTTGAGGATTTAATTAAGTAATTTGGTAAAATTGGGGACAAAATTGAAAGTTTCTAAAACTTGTAACTTATTTTAGAGATTAAATAAATTCAGGGATCAAGCCCTAAATTTACCCCTGGAGGGTTGGCATTCACGTATTATAAGCGTGAAATTCATTCTGAAATCAGAATGAATTTCACCAAATTTCCTCCCTCAAAGCCCCAACTTCCAACCACGATCCCAACGTCGTTTGAATTTCGATCGTCGTTTTAAAACCACCATCGTGTTCATCATCGAGCGAGGAACAAACCCCTTATATTAATTGAAGTGAAACACTACCAAACGCCAGGAATTTCAAGTCAAAGTCTCGACGTTTTTTTAGCACAATCGTCGAGAAAATCTTAAATTCAACGCCGATCGTTGCTTTGTTTACGACATCTCCCGCACCATCGTGTTCCTTGTGTCGTTTCGAGTCAGCCGGTGTCATCCTTGGTCTCCGTCGACGGCGGCGCGTGGGGAGGTGAAGCGGTCAAAGTTCCCGATTTGTTGAAATCGAGCTCTCCACTGTTCAAAAATTTGAATCGAGCTTTGTAAGTATCTCGAAATCGCTCAAAATAATTTTTAGAAATTTTTTTCGTGAATTATAGGACACGGGAGGAGGTCCCATGCGCCCCCACGTGCCGCCACTGCGCATGGGGAAGGCTCGGCCAGTGGTTGAAACTGGTTTGACCGGTTTTTAATCGGTTTGACTGGTCCGACCCGATCCGTTGACCCCCTTTGACCAGAACTTTGACCGACCATTAAACGACCGTTAATCTTTTCCGAGTATACTTATCCTGACATTTTTTGATGTTCCGAATCCGTTTTTGGGGTCCGTTTCACCAAATTCAAACCCGAAAGTCTCCAAATTGTCAGTCAAACCCTTTGAATTTGACCAAGAATTTAAATATCTGAAAGGTCATACTTTATGTTTTTCAACGTCCTGAATCTGATTCCGAAGTCCGTTTTGCCAAATTATGACCCGAAATTCCCAAATCAAGCACGTGAACCCAAAAAGGGCTGAGTATTTTAGTATTTTAATTATTTATTTGAGATTTGGTTAAGGAATTGACTCAATAAAAATATTTTATGAAGGTACTCATGTTTCACCTGAGCGAGGATCAGTTAGGTCCGAAGTTATCCGTTCGTCAGATCAGTTCGAACCGCGTACTACAAGAACTACCCATAGGTTTTCGTATATTATTATTTAAATAAAAATTAAGATTATTTATATTAGGATTCCAATATAGATTTTTCCAATTCGTAGGATCTAGCGCTGCAGCAGAACGTGATCAACAAACCCAGTAATAAGCTTCCCTATCTGATTTTTCAGACTGTTACAGGTGTGTTTCCTGACAGTGTAACATTACTGTTTTAAAGTATATATATATCTGAATACTATGTATCTGATATCTGATTTACCGTATATTTCTGATATGATTTCTGGTTACGGTATTTTATACCGATTTATGAATACTGATTACCCAATATCTGAATTATCATACATTACTGATTTGATTTTTTTTTATTTCTGTATTTCTTCTTATAGTTTTCAAGCTTGAAACATTCTTATGTTTTTAAAGAATTATTTATTGTTTTACTCAAAATACATTCATATTCAATATTATCCTTGGGGGAAATATTGTTGGAGGAAGATTATCTGCAGGCTCCTCAGCTATGTGCTCAGGGCCTTACTGGTTGTGCGGGGTGTATGGTTATGGGGAACCTACACAAACATATTGTGAAAGGATGGGGGTAGTGGTCATGTTTTCAAAACATGTTGCATAA